TATGTATATTGTAATATACGTATATATGTGTATCATTGTATTGTTGACGTGTTATTCTAAACACGTTATTTGCGATAAATATTATCACATGCCTCGGTAGTCGAAGGGATGCCTGCCCAGTAAGCAGGAGATTCAGGTTTGATTCCTGGTTGAGGTGATATTTTTTCGCAAAATAATTACGAGTTTTCACGACTGATTTGTGGTCGCCGAGACGCACACCCTCCCTTCTTATTTGAATTGTAATAGAAAGGCTTAGGATCAGTAAGAACGAGTTTTAGCTCTGTCTGAGTTTTCGGCACATCAGGTTTTTTGGCTTTCCTGAGCTATAAGCATTCCTGAATAACTTTTTAAATTGCTTCTGATGTTCAAGTGATATTCTAGAATTCACATTTAAATTAGTTAGGCAATCCATCTCATTATCAATATCAATATCTAGGATTTCACCGCATCTTAACTTAATTCGAACGCTTTACTTAAATCTAAGTGAAATACTCTTAACATGTCTCTAATATCTGATACATTCATTGTATTATCAGGGACCAATCTTCATAGATATTCACGTTCCTTTTTTTCTATTCCATCTAATCGAATGTGAACTTTTACACTACCTAATACAGCTAATTTACTATTATTAATGCTACAAAGTTCACTTGCAATATCTGACCTATCAATATAATGGGTACATATTTAGTTTTGATAAACGTAACCGGACTCCCTGTGTCTATTAATATTTCTAATTGAACAGAGTAGTCTACATTAAGATCGCTTATTCTGTATTAACTACCATTTGTTTAAATTCTTTATTGTTCAATACTGGCTCATGCACATAGTTTACTTAATTATCCGCATTCTTCAAACAATCTTTCACCATGCTCTCTCTGCATCTTGCCCCACCTCTCCACAAATAAGCACGCTGTTTCTTTTGCTGGTTGTTGACATTCCTTCGCCCAATGTCCTGATTTGTCACAGTTGAAACATCTAATCGCCCTGGGTCGAGTCTTACTGTTGTCCTTCTCAATTTTATGAAGTGAAGCGACTTACTATGTAATTTCTGACTCTGTACATTTCGTCCATTCCAATTTTTTCAATCTGAGATAATGCTTTTTTTCAAATGCCAACCAATAACTCTGCTTTGTTCTGGAAACATTGTATCCTCGCCTGGTTCTGTAACTATATGTCCGTTATACCATCAATAAGATAATCGACTAACTTAATCTCTTCTATGGGTACACTGTTTGCAAGTACAATTTTAGCATGAAAATACTCACTAAAATTCTCGCCCATTTTTCACTTCCTATTTACCTATTTAAAATCCTTTCTATTTATTTATTTAAAATCCTTACGTCATTTTACGGGGCCGCAGATCGAACATGTCAGCCATTTTTCTCAGTAGATCTTCTATATTCATCTCGATATGTTCTGGCGAGGAATGTAATCATTGTAATGACTTGCCTTTGACCCTCGCTCCTATAGGAACTTTAGCCTTGTCATCCAACTGATACGTGGTACACAATAACCGTACCTGATGTTGCCAATAAACAATGGCTTGAATCCATCAAAATCGCACAGTAATTCAATTACTGGCTTTATTCCGAGTTTATGCAATGATTGCTGCAAGCTTGTAGTGGATCGCGATGAGCTTCTTAATAGCTCAATTTCTCGCTCCGCTAACCTCAACTTTTGTTCTATTATGGTTCTTTCTCTTCTCTCAGTTCGACTTCTCGCGATAGCTCCTCCATACTTAAAATGTTTGTTGCTCGCCTCACAGCTCCCGCTGTCTCTTCCCGCTCTTCCTCCATTTCAGAACTTCTCGCCGGCTCTCTTGCTGTATTCAGCTGTTTATCATTTCTGCCTTTTTGCCTGTGGTTGGTAGTCCCAATGCCATCAACTTTTGCTTTAATTTAGAAGCCTTGAGATTTATTGAATTTGTTGACATCCTTACGATTGGCGCCACACTTAGTATATTAGCGCCTGATACTGTTGGAATTACTGCCACCACTGTTTAGTATAATTCAACAGCTTTCCAGCGATACCTGGGTCCAATGGCTGCTGTGTTGCTCTAACACGACTTATTACCATAAGTGAATCACAATTCGATACCTATGTTCCTCTATCACTATTAATGTATCGAAATTTCTCCACACGATGACTGTCACGACAATGTTATATACTCAATAGTTATCTTGCGGCAATACCAGTCTTTCCTTCACACAATCGTTATCAAACGATATTCTAAGAATCTTTCAACAAAAATGGCCGACAAGATCGTTCTCTAAACGATATCAACTGCAATATCATTTTCTATGTATATCTTCTATGTATGTCATCAAACAAAATGCTACTGCAATTGCTTTTTACAAATAATGGTTATCGCTCTCTGATAAATACAATTTTTATTCATTCAAACGTACTTTTTCAACAACATCACTGAATGATATGCCGAGATTTCACACCATGCAATATTAATAATAAGATACTGCTATATTCTTCATTACTTGTACACGCCAATAACAACTCAAAATTGGTCGAATTCCACTTCTAATTTTATATAGATATTGTTGTCAGGATAATGATATGCAGACCTCAGATTTATTTTAATAAAAGTGTAATTTATTTCTCGGCTCACACACTGCACTTCCATCAACCTCTTCTCTATTTCTGACTCTTTTTCAGGCCAAAAAATCAAACTACTAAAATCAATTAACTAAAATTACTCACAATAAGTACAATAATTTAATAAAATTTTATTGGCAACTACAATTGATATTAATTTTGGATTGATAATATCTTTTTTCACCTTTGCAAAGTTTCTTTTTTTTATTTTATAGAATTAAAGTTTGCATCATTTTTTGATATTATGTTCTTTGTAGAAATAATAAAACGATTATTCAAATAAAAATGAACTACAAATTATAACAATGTTAGCACACATGAAAAACATGAATTTGGCGTAGCGTCTCCCGACTGCTCTTTTAAAATGTGCAATTAATTTAGATTTATTAATTATTTGTTAATTTTAATAATATTTAATAGGTACAACTATTTAATAATTTTCCAAGCTCTTAAATTTTTGTATTATATTAAATTTTGTAATATATTAAATTTTTAATAAACCTTATTCTGTCTATCTTTATTATTTAAACTTTCTTTAAAACTGCTTTTTATTACTTAATGTAAATAATTATTACCTAATGTAAATAAAATTTTTATTTACATTACCATTTAGTTTTTAATATTTAATCTCTTATTTTTTAAGCTAACAATTTTCAAATTTCTATTTTTTTATTATTTGTGATTTTTTAAGCTTTATAAACTTTTTTATTTCAAACTTTTTAAACTTATCTTTTTTTTTGTTTTATTGTTTTTACCATTTAGTTTTTAGTTTTAATTCCTATCTTATATCTTTGTTAGTTTTTAATTCTCATCTTTTAAGTTTCTAATTTTTTAATTTTTAGCTTTTTTATTATATGGGGTTTTCGCTTTTTTAATTATTTTTTAAATTTTCAAATTTTTATTCAAACTTTATTTACTTTTAATTTTTCAAGTTTTTATTTTACATTTTTTAAACACATTTATATCAACTAATTTTATTATTATAAAGAAATATTTTAACTATGTTAATATATATATTTTAACTATGTACAATCTGCATTAGATCTAGCTTATTAGGCAGTAGTCGGGAGTTTGTTTTTTTTTAAAAACTAATTTTTTTAAGTATTAGTATTTTAAGTATTCGTTTTTTCGTGTTTTACCATTTTGTTTTAATTTTCAACTTTTTTAGCTCTTTTATTTTCAGTTTTTGCTTATTATTATTTGTGATTGTTGTTCTCATGTTTCCAAATTTTTAATTTTTTTTAACCTTTTTTTAGTTCTTAAATTCTTATTGCCTCCGTCTTACCGCATTAACGCAATTGTGGAATCGGCTTAATTGTTTGAATTTCAAACAATATATATATTGGCTAGTGATTATAAGTCACTTTTAAACCGGTATTCATAGTCGAAGTTTTTTATTTTACAATCGTCTTAAGTAATGGCTTAAGATGCTAATACGGCTTTATTAAGGCCATAGCATGTGAATAAATTTTATTTTCATAATTGTAAAATCATAAGAAAACCATTGACCAACTAGAGTTCGCTTACTCTCTTTACAATTCAAATAATTTAATCGGCAGATTATTTCATTAAAATTAACCAATCGTATTTGTTGTAAAATTTATAGACAAAATATAATTGGTTAATTCCAATGGAATAATCGGCCGATTAAATTAACCGGAGTTGGTGTAAGTGACGTCTACAATAGAGAAATAAAACTTAAGCCGTAAGAAATTGACTAATCATAATCGATTTACAGAAGAATACTCGATTATGGTTGGTCAATTTTTAAGTCTTACGCCTTAATCTCATTATAGACACGTTTAAGATTTGGAACGTAGCCCAATATGACAGATTTTCCAATCTTCAAATAAATATCATCCTTTTTTTAACTTTTATTTCTATGTTAAATGAAATCAAATGAATATATTTTCATTTTTTAAGATGGATTCCTAAATAAATATTTATTTTAATTTAGTTACTAAATAAATTTAATTTAGTTACTAACAGCCAATCAAAGAACGATTAACGATTAGATTCGCTCAATAACCAATCAGAAACAATATTGATGAAAAATATTATTATTCATTAACAAAAGGATTAATGATAATTGTATGCTATAAATCCCTTGACCTATAAGAAGTATATGGTTAAAAATTGATAAGCAAATATATTGTAATTGCTGAGATCTTTGATAACAACCGATTGACTCGGTGAAACGCATACTCTCTCCGTTTTTTGCCAACATTCGGTTGGCAGCAGTCAGGAGTAAAAATAGAGTTCACCAAATTTGAGATTTGTAAGATGTAATGAGTTTATCAGAGCAACAAGAAAATTAATTACAAGTTTTTAATTATTTATTAGAAATAAATAATGTCAATAAAATAATGTCAATAATGCCGCAATAATTTTTAATTATATATTTATTTATGTTGTATTTATTTCACAATTAGTATGATACATTTTTTAAACAGTATTGAATAATTTTATTTGAAGATTATAATTGAAATATTATTTTTTATAATAAATAAACTTTCTATTTACCATAATAATAATAATTATTATTATTATCATAATAATCATTTACTGGTGGTGTCCAATTGTAGCATTGTGGAAAATCTGATGGTACGTTTGGGAGATCACGGTTTGTACCAACATGGAAGACAACGTTCATTCCAGCTACAGTGTGCCATATAAAATGACAATGAAAGAACCACCAACCTGTAGGACAGATATTTTTAATATAATATAAAATATAACAAAATATAAAAATAGATTTGATTAATATAAATTCGATATAAATTTATGTTAAAATGTAATAAACTTTATATTTTTTTAATGTATATATTTTATTAATAAAAATCAGGTGATTTGGATAGTTCAGTTCATGACAATAAATATATGTTGTATAATTGTAATAAGATTATTAACCTGGGTTATTTGCTTTAAAGCGTATAATAACAAAACCAGTATTTGGTACGATTACGGTATCTTTAGGAGCGCAATTTTGATAATAACCACTTTTCAAACGATTTACGTGAGCATTTATTTCTTTGAATACATCTTCATCTGTTATATCATCCTTGTTGCGGGCATTGACAAATTGATCAGCATACATCACACAGAAACTATAACCGTGCAGATGAAATGGGTGATACATTTCTGTAAGAGGATCTGTAACATATTACGATTTTATTTTGAAATTAATTATTATTCGTTATATAACATCCTCATATAAGTTGTCATATTTTCTTATTTTATAAACTAAAAGAGAAAAATATAACAAATACAATATTAAATTAAATATTAACAAGAGATGATTTTTAATGTTATAATATTATAGCGCTGATTTTCATTTGACCTATTGTTTTCCATTGTTATTCAAATTAAATTGTTTTAACTGAACTTTACTTTGAGTATACTACAAAAAATTACATATGTTACAAAATTATTTATGTTAATGAATGGATAAATAAACATAAACCTTTTACGTTAATATGATTATTTCTATGGATCTTAGTAAAGCTAATGAGAATCAACATTATAAACGGTATTATATATTTAATTTTAATTTTATTTATTGATAAAAAATGTCAAACATTTCGACATGAATTTGAATCATTTTCAGTGCTACAAAAATGTGAAAGAGTATAGAACCTTGAGTAAGAAGGGAGAGCGTGCGGTGGTGGCCTGACCACGAACCAGTCGTGGAAAATTCGTAATTATTATTTTTGCGAAAAATACCTGAGCCAGAAATTAGAACTTCTGCCAGAACTTTGGATCCTTTGTTTACCAGGCATATATATATATATATATATATATATATATATATATTATTATTTACGTCATACTACACACACACACACACACACACACACACACGCGCGCGCGCGCGTACCAGTGATGAAGTTTCGAAAGTGTATATATACAGTGTATCTGAGATCACCCGTACACCCCTTTTATCTCGGAAAGCATTCTAAAAAAAGATGTTTTAGACAAAAATTGTATGGTTTCAAGATGTACATAAGACAATGTCATTAATTTGAACTTGAATAGTTATTTGAAAATCATACAAAGGTCACGTTAATTTTTCCAAATTATATAGCCTATTTTTCATTACATATTCTTGTTTTGAGAGCTTTCCAAAACACTATAATCAAATATTTTCTCATTAAGAATCTTTTTATAAAACTTGAAAATTTCAATATTTTGACCAAATACAAAATATTTTGTAAAACATTCAGTTTTTGGTAATCTTAATAGTATATGCACAGAATAATGAGACTAATCAATTAGTGTTATAAAAACACATAATTATTTTTAAAAAAATTGTGTAATTGCTTATTACAAATTCATTATTTTTTTGTTTCTCACTATTCAGGATGCTTAGATTAACGCGAGTCCCTTTGCTTCTCACAATACGGAATATTTGTTCATCAAATGTTGAATTATAACGATTCTCGACAGAAACTTGTATTTTGCAACTAGATAAGGCAGCAACTACCTGATTTCCACTTGAAAATTTTATTTTCTGACGAACATGTACATTTAAAGATGATGGATCTCAATATTTGAAACTCTCATTATTGGGCACAAGTTAATCCTTACTAGTTGAGAGAAATGGATCATAAAACCGTTTGTCAATCAATGTTTGATGTGGCATTATTGAAAGTCAAATTATAGTCAAATTCTGTTTTCTTCGACAAAAATTTAAATCATGATAAATATTCCGCCTTGATAGAGACGGGTCTTCCTATTTTACTAGAAAATTTTCCTCTGCAATTGCGCCTGAACATATGATTCCAACAGGTATGCCCGTCGCATACATCGACAGCTGCTCGTGCAGCATTAAATGCTAAGTTTCCCAACAAGTGGATAGGTAAATACGGTCCGATCAATTATCCACTCCGATCACCAGACTTCATCATCCTTGATTATTATTTCTGGGTAGAAGATAAAAGATAAAAGACTTGGTCCATTACAAACGTCCAACTACGAAGAATAATATGATTCGTAGAATAAGTGAAGCAATTCGATCCTTGAGGTGCTGAGAAAGTTTTTCGAGCAACCAATCGATTTCAAAATAGGTAAATGCTTGCATCGCAAAGAATGGTACTCACTTTGAACACTTAGTCGTTTAGGCAAACACACTCGTTCATTTCCGAATTGTGAGAGGCAAAGAGATTTATGTTAATCTAACCTTCCGAACATAAGAGATAAGGGACTTATGTTAATCTAGCAATAGTGAGAGACAAAAAAGAGTAATGAATTTGCAATAAGCAATTACATAATTTTTTTTTAAAGATAATTATGTGTTTTTATGACACCAATTGACTAATCTCATTATTCTGTGCATGAAAGTATTAAAATTATCTAAAATTGAAAGTTTTACAAGATATTTTGTATTTTGTATTTTGTCAAAATACGAAATTTTCAAGTTTTATACTCGAAAAATTCTTGAATGAACAGATATTTGATTATAGTATTTTGGTTCTCGAAACAAGCTACAAGAATATGTGATGAAAAATAGGCTGTACCATTTAGAAAAATCAACGTGACCTTCGTATTACTTTTAAACGACTATTCCAGATCAAATCAATGACACCATTTTATATACACCTCGAAATCATACAACTTTTGTCTAAAATGTTTATTTTTTCTAAAATACTTTGTTTCCGAGATAAAAGAGATGTATGGGTGATGTCACAC